AGGAACCAGTCACCTTTGTCCTACTTCCCCCTCACAACCAAATTACAACATTTCTAAAATATGGGAAATCCTCTGACACACAAAAGATGAAGCAATTACAGAAAAGTTTTAAGAAAAAGCATAAAAAAAAAATACTTGAAGGAACCCAGGGAAGTTGGTTGTATAGAAGAAGTGAGCAGGGGGTCACACCAAGGAAGCTGGAAAAGTTTTCATTTTTCCCTAAATCAATTCTTCATAGGAGACTTTCAGCTTTTGTTTGAAGTGAATTCCTAGGTGAATAGGCATGCCCAGATGTCACTGCTGTAATGTCTGTTCCCCCATGCCAAGCAGGAGTTGGGGAACACAGTAGAACAAAAGCTGAAAAACTACTCTTCAGTTCATCAAGTAAACACAGTGCCTAAGCCTTGGTAACAAGTTCATTGACTAAAATTATAGGGCTTAAATGAACCTCAGAAGTTATCTAATTCAACCACCTGATTTTACAGTTGAGGAAACTGAGGTCCATAGAGGTTAAGTGACTTATAAAACGTCATATATTTGGATGCTATGTTTCAACCCAGGTCCTCTGAAATCAAATTCAGCCCACATTTCCAAAACAGTACATTCCTACCATCCAATTCCTTACCACTACCCCTTATACAGGGTAAGAAACTGAGAAGCAAGAAGAGGCCTAAGGTCAACCAACTAGGTAATAGTAGATCCTAAATCAGATATTCAGACACTTAACTCCCAATCCAGTATTCTTTGTACCACATGCCCTTGAGGAGCTCAGGCTTACACATGTGAACAGTTAAATAAAAGTATTTAGAAGCTCACTCTGATTTAGAATTAGAAATTCCTTTTGGTTCCCTATTTAAACTGTACTCAATTGTCAAATTGCTTTGAGTAAACATCTATTTTAGAGGCCGCCCTGCCAACCAATAGTTAAGGGCTCTTATGGTTGTCCTCTTTTTTTTTCAATTCCAAAACTCATTAAGTCTCCAATGAAAATTAGTTGGAGGGAGGGGGAAAAGGAGGGCCTGGAGAAGGCACAGGAAAAAATACTAAACCCAGGGAGCAAGATTATTGTCTTCCTCCAGCCTAAGCATTTCTGCCTTGAATGTGTATTTATTGCCATCAGCAAACCTGCTTTACATAAAGGTATATGACTGGAAACAAGTCTGCCCTACCCTATACCTTATTGTTGTTATTGAGTCATGTCTGACTCTTCATAACCCTATTTGGGGTTTTCTTGGCAAAGATACCAGAGTAGTTTGCCATTTCTTTCTGCAGCTTATTTTACAGATGAGAGAACTGAGGCAAACAGGGTTAAGTGACTTGCTCAGGGTCACACAGCTAATAAGTGTTTAAGGCTGGATTTGAACTTAGAAATACCAGGCTAATGAGGACACAGGACTTTGCCACACTCTAGGAAAGTTGGAATGATTGGCAGCCTTCCCCATCCTTATTCTAATCCTTTCTTATCTGAGTCTCAAGGGAATCTGCATGGTTGCCACTATTCACAATAGAGATGATGAGAAATAAATAAATGAAAAGGAACATGAATTTTATCCCCAGCCTCAACAAGATTCAGTGGAAGATGCCAACTGTGTGTTTTACTTGTTGTTTGTCCTTTGTTCTTGAAATGGACCATGACATCATGGAGGTGATGCCATGACATGCAAGTGAATTGGATTTAAGGGAGGGAGAGCTGTGCAAAGTCACCAGCCTCACCTTCTCTGGAGCCATCTGGGTCCAGTGACCAGACACACATCAGGGTAACTGGAGATGGCCCCAGTAGCAGTGGAAGACCTTGATTGACTGCGTGTATGCCCTAAGAAAAGGAAGAGGTGAGGGAAATTAAGCTGCCCTAGCTCAGTTAGAAGGAAGTGTTGGGGACTATCTAATGAGATGGGCAAACATCAAGGTCTTGAAAGTTGATTGAGAGACCCTTTAGGGTACCACTGAGGTGCTAGTCTCAACCAACAACACAGAAGGAAATATATTGGCCGTCTGTAAAACATGGTAGCCTGGACAATCTCATTCCTAAAGAGCTCTGCCACTTGCCTGAATAAACAATGGTGGCAGCAGAAGAAATACAAAGGAGAGGGCAGCTATGGACATGAAGGTAATAGTAGCAAATCATTGATGCTTCCAAGGATTGAGAGGAATAGATCCTGGGCAGAGGGGCAGCAATGAAGTAGAGAGAGAGTTACTAGACCATGCCTAGGAAGTGTGGGAGGTAGAGCTGAGGAGCAGAGAGGCACAGAGCCTCAGTGTGGAGAAGCAACCTATACCTTGCCTTTCACTGCATGTCAGGAGGACTAAGTAGGCCCTGAAGGAAGGTGGAACTCAGCACAGGTAAGGTTTGCCACACTTTCTAGTAATCTACATTCTTTCCTGAATGGAGGAACCAAGTTGTGGAGGTATCCTAAGCTTTGAACAATTTTGTAGACCTCTGGGAGAGGTGAGAATCATTGGAGGGGAAGATTCTCTCGAATCTGCGGGTTCTTTTTATATTTTTTATTTTGGATAACAAGTCTGTTCTATGTTCTTTGACTTGTTAACTTGGTGCTGGCAAGGAACTGAAGGTACCTTAGACCAGGGGTTCTTAACCTGGGGTCAACGGACCTATGGATAGGTTTCAGGGGGCCCATGAATTTAGATGGAGGAAAAAAAATGTTAACTTCCAATTAAAATTCAGCCTTTCCTTTAATTGTTTTCAAACATTATTCTGATAAGGAGTCCATAGGATTCATCAGGCTGACAAAGGGGTCTGTGACAAAGAAAAGAATAAGAACTCCTGCCTTAGACACATGCTAGAAATGAGTCAAAATGGACTTCTTCTAATGGAACCCTAGGTGTGGTTTTTATCCATAATAATAATAATAATAATAATAGTTTGTTATAATTATTATCTCATTTGATCCTAACAACAACCCTGGAAGATAGGTGTTATGATTGTCCCTGTTTTACAGATGAGGAAACTGAGGTTAAATGACTTGCTTAGGGTCACACAGCTAATAACTGTCTAATGATGGATTTGAATTTAGGTCACCCTGACTCCAGGCCCAGTACTTTATCCACTACCTAGCTGCCCTAGAGCATATTATTATTTCTAATGTCTTCTATATTGACCTGGGTCTGTTCATCCTTAAGAACCAGGTGGGTTGTGTCTGTCTAATAGCATATGGTCGGAAAGAGGAAGGTAGATGACACTTGGGATGGTTAGCAAGGCTAACCCCGGCCCTTATGGGAAAAGAACTACTCTTTCCCAACTCCTCCCTGAAGACTTGACTTTGTCTCCAATTAATTACTTCAGCTCTTTTCTTTAGGAAATGGTTTTACTTTAGCTAAGCACTTTACAATTATTATCCCCTTTGATCCCCACAACAACCCTACAAGGTAGGTGCAATTATTATTCCTATTTAACAGATGAAGAAACTGAAGCAAACAGAAGTTAAATGACTTGCCCAGGGTCACACAGCTAGTAAGTGTCTGAGGCTGGATTTGAACTTGGGTCTTCCTAACTCCAGGCCCAGCAATCTACCCACTGGACTATCTAGCTGCCTAGCTTTCCTTTTTAAAGGAATATGTTTCTCAAATGTAGCATAACTCCATATACTTTCAAGAAGAAAACAGGAATGTGAAAACCTTCCTTAGCATACTAATGAAATTTAATTGAAGGGGCATTGCTTAGGCGTTTATCAAAGACTCAGCAAAAAGCTAGGGACTATGAAAAATTGAGAAGACATATGCCTGGAGGAGAGGCATAGCCTCCCTCCTCAAAGAACTCACAATCTAGTGGCAATACACAACTACCAGATATGAAAATATTTAAGGACAATAGTGTAGGCTATCTTGTTGAGGGGCAACTAGGTGGCACAGTAGATAGAATACTAGGCCTGGAGTCAGGAAGACTCCTCTTTCTGAACTTAAATCTAGCCTCAGACACCTACTAGCTGTGTAACCCTGGGCAAGTCATTTAACCCTGCTTGCCTCAGTTTCCTCATCTGTAAAATGAGCTGGAGAAGGAAATAGCAAACTACTTCAGTATCTTTGCAAATAAAACCCCAAAAGGGGACACAGAGGGTCAGACATGACTGAAAAAATGATTGAATACATATGAACATGAACACATCTTATTGAACAAATGTTGTCTTCTTAGAGTTCAAAGAAAGGAGAGTTTAGCAAGGGCTGCCATGTTTGTTGGCAACCCAGACAAGGAAACAGCCTCAGCTTTGTTTCTCTGAGAACAAAAGAATTGCAGAAGCCTCTCTACAGGAATGTTTATCACGGCCATAAAGGAATGACACATCCTGTAGGAAGTTGCTGCTGGGTCCATTGAGGAAGAGGCAGTCTCAGTATATCATACAAGTAGGTGGCCTAATGACAGCATGTTGGACTTGGAGTCAGGAAGAACTGAGTTCAAATCCCATTTCTGTTCATTGTCAGACCAAAATTAACACAAGCAGTAGAAATTCAATCCATATTCTGTTGCATCTCAGCCTCAGAGGCTGCATTGAGTGCACAATCATCTGAGAACAAAAAGTCATGTACCAACTCTCCCTCCACTTTAGTCTTGGCTTGTAGCTTTTTCAAGTTAAATAGCTTACCTACAGTGCAGTAGCTGACTTTGATGCTGTTTTTGTCCTCACTGAAGGTAGCTGACAATATCTCTGAAAACATGCTAAAAAAGCATGGGAGCAAACACACAGCCCTGCTTTCCTCCACTGCTTACTGGGAAAGTGCAAGAGCATCATCCGTTATCTAGAACTTGTGCAAGCATAGAACCTGGCACATTGTAAAAGCTATAGAAATGCTTATTTCCTTCCTTTCCCTTCCCCTCCGAATACAACATATTTCCACCCTTTTTCTAACCACTCACACTGAGCTTTCCTCTCCTGGGAACTTTCATTCTCAGTTAACTTTCAAATCCGTGAAGTGCTTAATCCTGTGCCTGACACATTGTAGGCACTGTATAAATGCTTATTCCCTCCTCCTTCTTCTTTACTTCTGAACAACTACGTAGATGTCTTACCACTAAACAGTTACAGAAAAAAGGGAAGCATGATATTTAAAAAAAATTCAAAAACCAGAAACCTAAGCCAGAGACATGGGAAACTTAAGTGACTTCTGGGGCACGTCAATCATAAGGATTGTAAAAGTGAACTGCTCAAACCACATTTGAGCACCCAATGAAGAAATGAGCAGCCAAGAGAGGCTCCCGCTGCTGCTGCTGCTGTTGCCGCTACCTTCAATCCTGCTATTCCTTTGCCCAATAGGTGAGTGAGGCAGATCATTAGAAAGTCCCTCTGGCAGGCGCAGGGAGAGAGGAGCCAGTGGCAGATTCTAGGAGGAAAAACTAGGAACCAAGCTCTATATAGAACCTAGAATAGACTAGAGATAGATAGATCCACACCAGAGAAAAGAGGATATACTCAAAGAAGTCTATATGTACCTAGACTCAGACTCTGGAAACTGACTTGGCTTTGTGGAAACAAGAGAAGGTTTTGGAGAGAAATACTGAGTGACCACCTTGACCCCCTTAGAATATGCTCCAGCTTGTCAGTCTCTTTTCCAAAATGTCAGGCAGCCAATAAACATTTGTTTAGTTCCTACTGTGTGCCAGGCTCCATGCTAAGGGCTGGGAATATGAAGAAAGGTGAAAGATAGTCCTTGTTCTTAGGGAGTTCACACTCTAATGAGGGAGAGAACATACAAACAACTATGTACAAACAAAGCCATGGACAGGATAAATTGGAAATAATAAGCAGAAGGAAGCTCCTAGAAATAAGAGGGATCAGGAAATGCTTCCTGGGTTTTAACTGGGACTTGAAGGAAACGGGGAAGCCAGGATGCAGAGATTTAAAAAGGAGAGCATTGCAGGCCAGTGAAAGTGCTCAGAGCTGGGAGATGGAGTGTCCTGTGGGAGGACCAGCGAGGAGACTGGTGTCACTGGTCTGACCACAGCTGAGCCCAGTTAAGTGGTCAGAGTTTCCTCTGCCTCTCTTAATGGAGCTTGAGAAGAACAATCTCTTTTTGGCTGCCATGTCACCCTATTGACTCTTTTTGGTTTGTTCATTCACACAGTTGTCTTAACATCTTTTATCTCATATGTGTAAATTTATTTTTTTAAACCTAAGTATAATTTTACATATATACAAGTATACATGTATACATGTATACATACACACACACACACACGCATGCACACACACACATTATATATATGTGTGTGTGTGTGTGTGTGTGTGTGTGTGTGTGTGTGTGTGTGTGT